GAGAGGAATCCCTCTCGGCCGTTGAGAGCATACACTCTCAGCGGCCGAGAGGTATTCCCCTTGGCCGTTGAGACCATTCATGTACATATGTAGTTGTTTAATTTTTTTTTTTTTTTAATTTTATTATTTGTTTGCTAGGGGAACGACTCCCAAACCTTTTGAAGGTTTTGGAGTTCCGACTCCCAATTTTGGGGTTGGACGTCCTGAGGACCGTCAGCAGACGGTCCTCTCGACGTCCCAGAAATTTGGGAGTCGGAACTCCAATTTCTGGGAGTCGTTTAACTAAGACCCTTTATTTTTCTCAAAAGCTTTGAAATTCATTTTGGGTGAGTCAGTAGACGGAGAGAAAGGAAGATTGGGATATGAGAAGAATGATTATGAATGAAAATTTTGGGAAAATTGCTTTCCAGATGGATTCAAAGAGCTGTTGATTGGGGCATTCACCAGCCCACATTGCAGTAAAGCACTAGAATTTACTGTTTTGGCTCCAATCTGGACAACCAACCTGGCCAAACCTTATTGGGTTCCAATTTTTTTCATTTTTAATTGTTGTTTCCATGTTCCACTCTTTCTTTCTCTCAGCACTCCCACTCCCCCAAAATGAATATCAAAGCTTTTGAAAAAAATCAGTTTTATTTTTTATTTTTCACAAGTTTTGAAACTTTACTTTTTTTTTATTTTTTCATATTCATTCTCTGGGACCTATTATGCACCACCTGAACAAGTCTCATAACTTCAAGTCTGTGTTTGGGAGCTCTGGAATCCAGTATAAGCAGCCACTTTTCACTGTCTACCCACTGTACATAGCTACAACTTTTTTTCATGTCCAAATTTACCTCTTATTTTGAGTGAAAAGAAAAGGATGAATGACAAAAGAATAATAAAAACAGCTAAAAGGAGGAAAAATCCATTTAAACATTGAGATCCATTAAATTTGGAGTTAAACCAGTGCAGATACCTGGGACACCACGTGATTCTACCATGTATAAATCAATGGATTGATATGGTAGCTTTTTGAATCAAGGTAACTGTATCAGATTCAGCTCTCTAAGGAAATTCTTGAGTTACAGCCTTTTTGGTTTTAACCCTTTGTATGTGGTTAAGAAATATCCAACTGTTTACATTCAATTCTAAATATCTATAGTATCACCTACAAAATACACTAGTTATCTGCCATTCAAAAGGCAATTATTCAGGCAAAAATGGCCAGAAACAACGGTGGGCTGCTACACTAACTGTAGCTGTTAGTGTAGCGTAACACAGCAGAATTCCCATTAGTGCTAAGTGTAGCGTAGCAGAATTCCGCCACAACACCGCTAACCCTACGCGTGTGGGCCGCAAAAAAGGTCCCACTACGCTGCTCTACAGCGCTTTTTAGCGGTTTTCAGCCGCTTTTACTGCCAAAAGCGCTGTAGCGCAGCATAGCGTAGCAAAAATGTGCTACAAAAGCGCTAACAATACAATTTTTTGATGCAAAAAAAGCGCCACTACACTACACTTTTTGGGCCAAAAGCGTAGCGTAGCGGCCCACCGCTGCCAGAAAAGAGTTGGTACATGGTAGCCAATATTAGTGGTTATCAAATATAGGAAATCCACCATTATAAACCAGTCACTTTTCCCAAAAAATATTTTTGCATCAAAGGGCCCCCAAAGGGGTGAAATGAATAACCAAAATGTTCAAAAAAGGGTGGATTTTTTCAAACCAGTCAATTAAATAATGGTGGATTTGGTTATATTTGATACCCCCTATTGTAAAATCAAGAGCCTGTCTCTTCCTGGTTTTTTCATTTTTGTCAAATAATGATTCCTTGGCCTTTTGTAGAAAGAGTTGAAGCTCTTGTGCTTCAACACTCTCCAAGATTTCCTTCATTTTTTATTCAATTCCTTCTTTTGGCAGTTACCCCCCCCCCCACTGCAATGAACCTCTGCTGCTTATTTTTAACTCATCTCCCATGGTTCCCTCCCTGTTTCTCTTGGTTATTAAGGCAGACATCAAAATTATTTTCTTGCTTTGTCACCCATTTTCCCATTAGTGTTGAAATCTGAGGGATAGAAAATGGTGTTGTGGTGTGCTGCCCAGGGTTTTCTTTCAAGGAATTCAAGATGAGAGGAAGTGCATGTACACATGTCAGGATGTAAACGGGTCGGGTTCGGGTCAAAAAACAGTGACCAAACCCAAACCCAAGGAAAAGGCGGGTCAGGTCATATTTTAAAAAGTGCTTATTGTACCCGAACCCGAGTAAAGTGGAGTCGGGTCCGGGTCGGGGCGGGTCGGGTCAAGGGAGACCCGGCCATTTTAGCAGTTGAAGGAATCAGAAATTTATATTTCATTAAAATTTTCATATACACTTTTTTTTTTCTCTGAGAGTAGTAAACAACAATTATGTGATGAAACAAAGTCAATCTTGATCATCATCATTGATGATTAGGTCCTCATCAGCGCAGATCCAGTTTTGTCTGCACACAAGCGCTTCGAGGGTGTCGGGATTCATTCGTGTTCGATAGTCGCTGAGGATTCTCCCTCCGGTGGAAAATGCAGACTCCAATGAGATCGCGGTCATTGGAGTCATGAGGATAGACTTGGCTAACATTGAAAGGTTTGGGAATCGACCGGCATGGGTACTCCACCAGGCAAGTACTGAAAATGACTTGGGATCGGCAATCACTGGTGCTTCTGCTTGAGTTGCCTTCATCCTTTTGAGGTATTGCTCATATCGTTGGTCATCTTCATCCAGAGTGGTGGGGCCTTTATCATTTTGGTTGACCAATGCGTTTTCTTCAGGAATCGAGGTGTTTGAAATATTTTTGTTTCTATTGCTAATTACATCCTCAAACCAGGTTGAAAGTATCGATTTAATACGATTGATGCTAGTTGTAGCTTGATCGTTGCCGAGTTCTTCCAAGAGAATGAACTCAATACGCTGGAGCTTGCATCGAGGGTCAAACACTTGGCTTGTGGCTGCAAGATCTTCCATTTGAGTCCAGTATTTGTAGTATTTTTCTTGCATCGGTTGGATCATTTCGACGATGTGAGGGAGGCCACTGTTAAGCGAGTCTTTCAATTGTTTATCAATCTTTTTCATCGTTTTGTAGACTAGATGAGCAGTTGGGTATCTCGTCATCCCAAGTTTCAAAGTGGCTAGGCAAAACAAGAAAAAAATGACATTTCAATTATGTAACTCAACAATCGACAAATGAAATAAATACACACCTTCTTTAAAAACAGACAAGAAGTCCTGCATTGTTGAAATCTTGTCCCACTCCTCCGTGGTAGGACAGTCAGTGTAGTTGGCATCTGACACTGACAATTGATTGAATGCATTTTTGTAAGGAAGAGCAGAATTGAGCATGTCGTAAGTCAAATTCCAACGCGTGGGAACATCGATTGATGGGAGTGCTTGTGCTCCCATGTTGACGTGGTTGATTGCCTCTTTGAACGAGTGTTTACGCAATGGGGTGCTCTTAGTATAACGGACGCTGTCACGAATCTTACTGATGGCAACCGAAGCATTCTTGAGGCCGTCCTTCACAACGAGGTTGATGATACGGGCGGCACATCGCACATGAAAAGATTTTCCTTTCATTTCCAAAGGCACATTGCTTCGAGCTGAAATAATTGATGACACTCGATTGATTGCGACATTGTTTGAGGAGGCATTGTTGACAGTAATAAATGAAACCTTGTTGATGATGTTCCATTCAACCATTGTAGCAACTAGCTGATCACTGATTGCAATGCCAGTGTGAGGAGGTGGAATCTGTTTGAAGCTGAGTATGCAATTCTTTAGAGTCCAGTTGGATGAGATGAAATGAGCCGAGATGACCATAAAAGGGGTCTGGTTTGAGGAGGTCCAGAGATCAGTTGTTAAGGCAATCCGATCAACTTCAGCAATCTCTTTGATAAGTTTATCCTTCATTGATCCATGCAGCGCCATGATTTCTGTCTTGAGCTTTCCACAACTAAAGAGTTTGAACTGAGGTTGTAACGATTTCACAAAGGCTCGGAATAGGGGTTGCTCAACAAAAGTAAAAGCTTGTTTGTGAGTGATAATCATCTTGATCAAGAGTTCGTGTGAGGCCTGCTGAGAAAAGACCCAAGTGGAAGGTGTCGAGGATTTTGCCAGAAGTGTCAGTAATGTCTGCTTGCTTTTGCTTTGGTACAAGGAACACCGCTCAAGGTGGCGCCAAAGATTTTTGGTTCCATTTTTGTTTTGAGCATCTAATGGTTGTTGACAGTGTTTGCAGTGAGCCTTGACCTCTGAACCTGAGAAAAGAACCAAAAATCAGACAAGGGCACAATGATAAAATGCAAATTAGACCACCAACCTGTTGCTTTCTTGGTGAAGTGCTCCCATATGTTGCTAGTTGTTTTCCGCTTTGTCAAAGTTTCTTGAGTCTTGGACTTTTTTGATGGTTCAGCTTCTGAAGTACTGGGATTATTTTGTGAAGCGGCAGGAGTGACAGGATTACTGGCTGTTGATTTCTGAGTGCCTGTCTGGCTTGCTGGGGTTACTTCAGTGACTTGGATGTCAGATTCCCCATCAGATGAGGAGGAAACATCGGCAATATGGCGCTTTTTTCTGGAATGTGGCATGGGGGGCATTGCAAGGAGGGTGATATTGCCAGAAGTTGACCAGTAGAAGAGTCTTAATACTGGAGAAGCTGAGAACTACCCATTCTTAGTCGGGTTCTTGGGCCGACCCAACTGTAAGATACCTCTCCCAAACCCGAACCCGACTGAGGAGGCGGGTCTTTCCGGGTCGGGTCAAAAATTGATTCTTGGCCAATAGGCCTACCTAAACCCCACCCAAGACCCGACGGGTCTTGGGTCGGTAGCGGGTTGACCCGACCCATTTACATCCTGAATAGGGACCTGAATATACGGACTGCAATGGAGATGCCTTACTTCAGTCAGCTAGGTGCTTAATGACAAGCATCCAGTAGTTGCCGCAGTGACTGCGGAGTGGTTCCTGTCTCTCACACAGCCCCAAGTTTTCATGGGCTTCGTAATTCAGTGGTAGAATGCCTGCTTTACATCCGGAGATGCGCAGTATGTCGCGGGTTCGATCCCCGTCGAGGTCATCCTTTTGCAGCCCGGCGCACGTTGTTTTTTATATCCCCGGTAGACCGGGGTTAGGTTAAGGATAGTGAGACGCGGGCGCCCACCCTCCGATTGTGACATAGTGTCGATTGGGAAACCTAACCTGCCCGCTGGGAGCCTCCGTAGCGAAGCCTCACACTAGCCCGGGCACGTCGCCCATTGCCTTTCGAACAAGACCCAACAGAACCATCCAAGGTGAATACCCGTACTCCCCTCGACTTATTGCCGATCTCTCCTCGCGCCAACTTCAAGGACACCGATCTAGAGAGAAAATGTCGATCAATCAGGCTGCTGACCTCTCCATGGCTTTTTCTTCTTCTCAACAGAAAACTGTAGCCGTTTGAAGTTTTGCGATGGCCAAATCAAAGAACCACACCAAGTTCGTCCATGCCCTCCGTTCACCATCACTCCACGGGACTGCAATCTCCAGCTCATGATATCTAATGTCGTATATTTCTATGTTCAATTTCTACACAGTCACAACCAAAACAAGAAGGCCCACAAAAATGGTATCCACCGACCTTTGCGTTGCCGATACCCCTCCTTGAAGGGTGTAAGTCCTGTAATCAATCTCATCCAGTAACTGTGTTCGCTTGCTCAAGTCCTCGCTTGGTTTGCCACTCTGACTGTCCATCATAGGTTGACCCCAAATTCCGAAGGTACGTCTCACATTTTGGTCTCCTCTTTCCTGTTGATAATTGGATTCAGACCGAAAAAGCAAAGCTGACTCGAGATCGCATCTTCGTACTTGACACAGAAACCAGAAATTTGCCAAACACGGGACCCAGAAGGCGCTTGCCGCCGCCCGAGCGGAGAAGGCATAATCAAACAGCACCGCCCATGAAGAAGATCATTGTCTGAAGTTGAAAAATCGACCGTCTCTTTCACACGCCTGAAATTGATCATCTCCATCCATCCCCGCTTTTTGTATTGAAGCTCGTTTATGTGAAGGCCGTTTTCTCTAGACTTGCCGGTCTTGTATGACATGCCAACTTATGCCCTGTCGTAGGGCGCTTGCCTTACTTGCATTCAAATCAATCTTGACTTCCTCCACCTCCTGTATGAGCCCTGTCCTTGCCGAACGATATAATCCAGAGTTTTCTCAAAACAGTCAGCTAGGCGCCCATTTTCCGCTTCCACACTCAGCACATATATGCATGTCAGGCGGCAGAGATGTAAGATAGATAAAGCGGGAAATCTATGTATGTCGGATCTACCCTCCAAGGCTTGATGCAGATTGGAAGCTGTTGATTTCCATCCTGGGATCAACCCAAAAGTCAGCGCAGTCCATCCTCTGTTGAGAGGTCTTGCTTCCCGTTCGCATGAAGTCAATTGGACTGTGCTACAAAAATGTATGAGCCAGGACTCAAGATCCCTGTGAGAGACAACTTAACAAAGTCCCCGTACATAGTAGAATGAAGCAGTGCCTGGTGCCAAACCCACCCTTTCTGATTTCTTGAGCATGTGGTTTCAATGCTTAAATCCAGCCCAGCTAGTGAAAATTGAAATGTTGCTTACTGTAATGGTTTTTAGAGATAAAAACTCACCAATATCCTACAACTAGCTGGTTTCATGATTGGCATTTTTCATAAACCCATTTATCTCCCAAACCAGTCATGACCTGACTCCAAGCTTAAGAATTGTTAAAAACACACTTGCTATACTTGAAATCTGACATCCAAGCTGTATATACAAACAAGAAAACTGTTTTAGCAAAACAAGCATCCAAAAGCTCAATCACGAACCCTGCTGCTGAATTTTTTAGGGGGTGAATTTTACTGTCACAACCAAACTGTGTGATTTCTGGCAGTGTTTTAGTCCACAGAACCCCAAGCATTGTAATTTGGATTTTATCCTTTGGTTTATCTTGCATGACCAGAAGTATTCAAAATCCAAGTCATCTGTTTTTTCTAGAATATGCATTGGTGAAATTTCTGAACTTCATTTGGTGTTTGTGTTAATCAATTCTTTACAAGTATTCCACAAAGTAGAGATGGCACTTGGATCTTGGTTGCTGTCCCAGTTTATTGAAGTATGAGAGCATCCGCATCAGTCGTCAACTTAGCTCGGATTAAGGCACTTAATCCAACTGCGCAACCGCATTGGATCTGATTAAGACGGGATCAACTTGATCCAGATCTCCATTTGGAGCCAGTGGGGTCTAAATCTACACCCCACTAATCCTGGGAATAAGTCCTGCATGCAAAAGGCATGAACACATACAAACTAGCTCCGATCAAGTTGGATCAACTGACCTCAAATACATAACACATAGATTTAAACCACCTCAGCCACCACCGATGCGGCTGGAGGCCAAGATCACCTTAATCTTGTCCTAATCCGAGCTCGCTAATCCAGTGTAACTTGACCACTGATGCGGATGCTCTGAGAGTGGTAGAAAAACTGATGTTGAAAACATTTTTGGGAGGCACTTGTAACCATTTCTGTTTTGTAGGTACTTGACTACTTGAGTTTTGTGAAAAATGGACACCACCCCTGCAGTAGAGCCTAGAGGGGTTAAAATATGACTTTTTTGGTATCTGAACCTGCTTTAAATTCCTCCTGGTCAGGCATAGATTGGGGAATTTCTGCTCATGTCACAACAACCCGATTGAGAGACACCCATGCACATGTTTCTGAGGTGTTGCTCAGCACTGGATTGTGAGAACCTTGGTCACTATAAGGCTTTCTGGTGCATCATTGACAGAGGAACCACTAAAGAAATGGGGGCTTCAAAGGTGGTGTGAATCAATACTTCACAGTCAAATCTATACATCTGCACCTACTTTCAGCAGTCAAGTTGGACAGGACAGGCTACAAAAGTCTGCAACTGGAGTGGGATCTAGCTTGCCCAGCCTCTCCATCAAACACATGAAGTGCAGGAGAGGCTTGTGCCCAAGATTTGCTTGTTGTTATCATATTTTTGGAGTGTGAGAGAAAAAATATAGAAAATTCACCGCTGACCTATATGCAAATGACATTTGGGCTGGGTGTGCCCAAGATGGAGATCTATGATTCCATCAAGAAAGAACTGAGAAATATGCAGATCTACATACTTGAGTGTCATTTGGAGTGGTTGTGCACCTCAACCTATATATGTGTGTGCCTTTTGACTGTTAGCTTACCCTGCCACCAAAGTTCAAGTTGAATTTTGGGAATTTTTCAATATTCAACATTTTTCAAAAAGATCCCATCCAGCCAGTTTTCAGGAAACTTCCCTAAAAAGTTGATAAGAAGATTGACAACATGGTCCATTTTGACCATGCTGACTTTGCCTCCAAAAAAAAGCAAAACTACATTCATGGTGGCTGATTCACAAACAGCTACACCAACACATGCCAATAGCAACACACGTGTGTGTGTGTGTTTTCAGCACAAGTCCCTCCCTTTGGAGGCTTGCTTTGCAAGTGGCACCAGCCAGCCCAGGTACACCAGGCCCGCAGAAGCAAGGGACTTGCTTCAAGTTAGGAGTGGGATTGGTTTGTGAAACAGTGGTTGATGAATATGTGTGTGTTGGAACAGACTATCAAACAGTGCTCTCCCTCCTCAACCTTAAGACCATCAAACAAGAACCCCCAAAAATCTGCTCATGAAAAAGAAGAAAAAAAAACACTTCCTACACTTTCCATCTTTCTCAGCTTGTCCTTCCGGCCTCATCTGGCCTCTGTCCAAGATCTCCCAGACAACTCACCCCTCAGCTCATGTTTTTGAGCACGGCTATATATCCCAATCACAAACGGTCTCTCTGGATCTTATTATGTGTGTGTCATTTTGCCTGTTCAAGAGGCCCGGGTGCCCAGCAACGCGCGATAGCAAGTGTGAAAATACACACTCATTCCCTCCCTCTTTCACACGTGTTTCTCTCATTCCAATCACAACTGTAAAACATCATGCTTTATAACAACCAGGGGGGCCTCATAAATGTGCTCAAAAAAAGATAGTTTGTTTTGGTTCTATTCTAATCCCTAGTTTGTGGACAGATCTCAAGGAAGAAGAGCAAGGAAATATCCATGGTGATCATCAAGACCAAGAAGGATTTTGTAGTGTAGAAAGTCGAATAATGTATCTCCTTGGCTCCCATGAGAAGATTTCTTCAGCCTCCTCAAGATGTTATATTGTTGCCCATATCCATCCAGAGCTGATCATGCGGGCCCACAACACACCAAGAGTCTCTTTCCAAATCCCGCCCTCCATCCTCCTCCTTGACTTCTCCTTGATCTGATCTCCAGGTTTTGTTTTAGCCAGGAAAGAAAAAAAAAAGAAGTGTCTTATAAAGCCATAAAATGGATCATTCATCATTGGTAGTCTTTTATAAAATAGCCCACAGGGGATAACAATAACACCATACACCACAAAAACAAACTCCTGAAAGCAAGGGGAGGATCAAAAGGAATAGGATCACCTGTCACTGGGAGTCGAACCCAGGTTACCAGGAGCCACCAGCGTGAGAAGTATCTTTCCGATCTCAAAACCTGGTGTCCTAACCACTAGACGATGACAGGATTCGATGATCGTGGGTCCAATCCGAGCTGCTCGATCGGGCCGAATGATTGTAAGGACTCTATTCATGGAGGCCTCATCATGATTGCATTGGGATTATGGAAGAATGTAGGCCGCGAGAATGGCCAGAGATCTGAGCGGATGAAGAAGCGGCCCGATCATCGATCCCCACGAATGTCGGTGACGAACATACATACATATAAATAGGGTGAAGAAGTAGAAGAAGATGTACAACAAGCGGAGACGGGTGTGGAGATAAGACGGGAGCCTAGAGCCCCGCTCGGACTGAGCATCTATGCACGGATCGGTGCACATACTACTATAAACATCCGAACACAAACCGCTCGGGGGTTCTCGACATATGTACTTTTTTCCGGGGACATGTGTATATGTATATTCTCCTCAACTTACTACTGATGCCAGAAACGAGAGAAAGAGAATGACAGAGTTTGGATGAGAGAGAAGCGGGAAGGTTAATCCCACTCATGAGTGTGATTGAAGTCATTAAGAGTAAACGAGGCGGACGAGGAATGGTTAGGATGATGGAGATTAAGACTGAGATGGTTAGTATTCGTGGAGGAAGAGGTCGACGGATGATGATGATGATGATGATGGTGATGGTGGTGGTGAAGAGATGCAGCAGCAGCAGCAGGAGGGGTCGGCGAAGAAGACGAGGAGGAGGAAGAGGTCGAGGCAGCGGCGGTGGTCGTCGCGGATAGTAACATCGGGTCCAGGTGGGCTAGCTCTTCTCGAATCGCCGCCCGGGCCATCCCATCAATCTCCTTCGTTAAGGTCACAATCAATTTCTATGATTTTGTTTAATAAGAAAAAAATCTTGTGAGTGAGTTTGAGATTTATTTTCAAAAACAAAAAAGGGGGGAGATTGACTTTAAGTTTAGAGTCGATTCGCGAGATGAGTTCGATATGTGAGCTGTTGAGATACGTGTGATGGACGCTGACGATCGAGTAATTAGACGACGAGCGGGTCGGCGGGACGGGTACATGGATGGGGACCGATCCGAGCTGAGACGCAGTTGCTGCCGTTGTTGCTGCAGTTGTTGTAGTAGTTGTTGGAGGAGTAGGAAGGACTGAGTGAGGATGAGTGGGTGCGGAGGAGCCGGCGATGGTAGCGCTGAGCGAACCTGAAGTGGGGTTGCTCGTGCTTGTTGTCAGTGTGGTGCCGGTGCTCGTTGAGCCGGATGTGGACGCGGATGTGGATGGTGTGGTGCTGCTCGAGGTGGTTCCGGTGGCCGTTCCTGCTGGGGTGGTGGGACTGCTGCTGGAGATGAACTTGATCATCTTTTGGTACACTTCTACCAGCATATCACTTAACGTGATCCATACCTCGAAATAATCTAAATCGAATGGCTTTTTATTCCATCACGGGAAAAATTTAGCAAACTCTTCAATCTTGAGGAGGGTTTGGAGAGAAGACTTACGATGTTGGGCGTGTATATGAACGACGGGTCGCCGGAGTCTTGTAGCGTTATCGAATAGTCCGTGCCTGCTCCTCCAGCCGACTTCCGGGCGGACTTGGATGACTGCTTAAAGATCCCTCTCTACAGAAACAAACAAACAAAAAAACCCAATCAATATTGATTTTTTTCTTAATTTAAGAAAGGAGAGGAGCTCAAACGGATAGACTGGTGATCTTGGGCTTGAAATTATCGTTGGGGATCGACTCGAATTCGTGCAACAGATTGATCATCGCCTTCAAGAAGTCCTGCAGGTTGTTGATGTCGAGTAAGGAAGACAAGGACATTCCCAAGATGGCGAATTTCGTCGTCCTATCATTCCAATTCCAAAAAAAAGTCAATAAAAAAAAAGGAGGAGGAAGGAAGGAGGGAAAGGAGAGACGAACCTGGTGATCATCCGATGATGATCGAACCATTTCTCGAGCTCGGGTCTGGAGAGCAGGATAGTATTAAACCAATGGACCTTACCCTGATGGACTTTCTTGAGATAGACGAGGGTGGTGATGCGTTTATGGGCGAGGGTGAGGAGGGATTCGACGGTGTTTGTTGGATGAGTAGTGGAGCCGGCCGAGGAGGAAGTATTCGTATTATTATTACTATTACTATTACTATTATTATTATTATTGTTGTTGTTGTTATTGGGAGGAGTGGTGACGGAAGGATTGAGGATGGAATGACCAGTCGACGAGGGTTCGTAGACCATCGAGCAGTCTTCTTCGGCGATCGAGCGGGCGTAGGTGGAGCCGTTCGAGGGCAGCAATTGGGACACACTGCTGATCGACGGGCGGTGTTGATGGGCACTTGCGCTGCCACTGTTGTTGGGTGGGTTGGGCTGTTGACTGTTGTTGTTGTTGTTTAGGATGCTGGATTGCTTGTGGCGGATGGAGAGGGATGAGAGGGAGGACATCTTCTTCTGGATGGTCGATTGTGATTCGGCCATTATCAATCAATTTCCAATTTCTCTTTTTTTGATGATGATGATGTTTGTTTGGTTCTGGTTGAGTTTTGGTCTGGCTTATGTACAACTTTGTCATTGATCGTAATCTCCGAGCTGGTTATGTAAGCCACCCTTTGGCTGATCAAGACTCCCAAACACTGATGGAAGGAAGACCAACCAAGAAGAACCCCCTCTGTTCATCCTTCTATGTACAGTCACTTTGCAATCTTCTTGATCAATTGATTTAGAATATGTAAGTCGATAATGTTTATTTACATGTCTACAACTACTTAACATATCTTGAGACCGTTCTTGTTTTGGAATCGTGATAATAATCATGATGACAAAGAAGAAACTGAAAAGCTTCTTTGACAAAGATGGGAGAGAAGAAGTAAGGGTAAGAAAGGGGGATTGAAAGTGTACATCAATATTATAATTAGGAGGTTTCTTTTGGAATGGTTGGATACATTACCAACTAGATCTTACTAAACTAGAATCTTTTTAACGTTTGTCTGTCTATTATATTTTTCTTTGTGTTTAGTTACAAATCAACATATACACAAATCTCAAGGAAGCAGAACCACCCAACACACACCTCTACTCAATTAGAAAGCCCCAAGGTTAACAGCCAGGACGAGGAGAAAGGGGGGGAGAAGGATGATCAAGATTTGAAGAAGCAAGAGACGGCGGAGTACACGAGTCTCCGAGCGACGAGTGCGAGCAGCCAGAGCGATTTGGAGTGGATCGAGAGCAACGGCAGGCGGTCGAGTAGGAGGAAGTCCGAGGGCAGACTGGCCCATCCGGCCGCACTGAAGATGTAGGGCATGTTGACGAGCAGGGCTTGCGCTTGATGGTCGCCCATCCGTCGGCTCCTCAACAACCGCAAGATCTCCGTCGGACCCTTGATCTTCGACCTATTCATCCACCCCCCAAAAAGAAAAAAATAATTAAAACCTGGGATTAGTGGTTTCATTTGGAAGAAAAATAGAGAGTTTTCTTTTCTTTTTTTTTTTTTTGGAAGGGGGAAAGGGATGCTGACGGTTGGAGGAGGAAGTATTGGTCGAGGGTTTGTTTGGAGAGCTGGTCGTCCAGGTCGGCGTGGATGCGCTGGTTGAGCGGGCGTTCGATGAAGAAGGAGATGAGGCCATCGATGAGCGAGATGAGTGTGTAGGAGAGCAGACTGATGACCATCGAGTTACGCGTCTCCTCTCCTCCCTGCTTCGGATCATTCAACAACACTACCATTTCTTCTTCTTCTTCTTCTTCTTCTTGAGTTTGACTTGAGGCTTCATTTCGATCGAGTCGCAAACTGGTCTTCTCCTTGCTTATTCTTGTTGTTGTTGTTGTTGTTACAGTTTTGGGGTTTGGAGGAGAAGAGGGGGAGAGGAGATGGAAGAGGAGGAGTTGGCCGAGGTAGTTGAGCATGTCGAAGCCCAATGAGCGACAGATATCGGCCGAGAATCCGAGCCTGAAGTATCTATAAACGGTTGCGACTGAGCACGTGACGAGAAAACAAAAAAGGGGGGGGGGGTGAGGAGAAGCCAGCTCGTGAGAATAATAATAAGAAGAAGAAGAAGAAGAAGAGAGGGGGAGGCGTACGAAGAGGGAGCTTGAGGAGATGCAAGCAGAGGCCCAAGGCGGAGAGCAGGGATGGGGAGTGATGGGAGTAGATGAGCAGGGATTCGTAGACGATGAGGGCCAGAGCGCCGGGCCAGGCCGAGTGTCGGAGCGGCAAGACCGGCAGAGAGAGCAGCTTCTGTTCGTCTTCGGCCCCGTCCGCCGTCAGTCTCGGCAGTAAGAAGTGGTGGAGCCCGGCGGAGTAGAGGATGGCGAGGATGACCGCGCTCCTGGTGCTGGCCATCAGCCGCGTCGTGTGCAAAGGCCTGTCGCTGCTTCTGCCTCTCGGATCCCGAGCTTCGTCTTCGCTCCTTCTGGAAACCTTCGTTGTTGCTGCTTTGGTCATCCTGATCGTCCTCGTCTTGTTCTTTCTTCTTCTCCTGTTGTGTTCAAGTTGAAGGTTCTTCTTTTTCGGTCTCGGTGCTTTTTTGATTCCCAAGCAGGTGCCCCTTTGGTCTCCACAGGCCCTACCTGGGAACCCCTCTTTGGGTTTAAGAACAAACCCCTGAAACTACACATTAACCATCTCTAGTGGATCACTGATTTCTCAATATCTTCATCAAGTTTCCTCTAGCCGGCTTTACTTACTCAAGATAACGCTCCATCAAATGCTTTAATAGTGATCGATAATAGGTATTTCAGAGCTAGTACATAAACATATAAGTATGGTGATCATAAAAGACAGAGATACAAAACAAACAAAATCTTTTCAAACTGCGTCAATTATAATAAAAATGGGAACTCCTAGCTGTGTGTTATGAAGATTTGGTAGGACAGGAAGGAAAAGCAGCGATCAAGAATGACTAGGGATATTATACTAGAAGGGGTCTAACTTTAAGCCGGAACAAGCTTAGAAGAAGAAAGAGCAGGACTGGAGGAAGGGAGTGATCGGAGCAACAACTGGGAAAGAAGGGGTGCGAGTGCGAGCTGGAGCTTCTCGAAGCTTGTGACCGATCCGGGGCCGAGGATGGCGAGGAGGGCATGGAGGGACTGGACGAGTTGGAGCGGGAGGCTGGCCAGAGGCGTGTTGGAGAGATGGAACCGGACCAGGTTCTCCACCTGGGACAGCTCGCTCGGCCCCAGAACTCCCACCATTTGCTCAAGCACGCCGTCTAGTCCGGCCTCTAAGACCTCGTACACTCCGCCCCTGCCTAACATAGATTCCCCTCCAAATATACAGCCGCTAAACGCTCGCATGTCGCCCGTCTGGAAAACTATCGAGATGCATTCTTCCGTCCTCTCCAGTGCCGTCACGCCATTTCCTATATTATAACGTTTATACATTTGTTTTTTTTTCGCCATGAAAGAAGAAATGAGAGTCAATTTTCTTTTTTGAGCGATTTTGTAGGGAGTGGGCCAGATGGGAGGACTCGGACTAACCGGTCAAAGAAGCTGCGACCGATAGAAAGGCGGCATGGATGATCGGGACTAGGTCGTGTTCATAGTCCGATGGAACTAAGCCGGATAAGCTATCATCGATCACGTCTAGAATCTCTTCAATCACCTGATTGCAATTGGTCATTAAAAAGAATGAATGCCGTTGGTACGTTAGTTTATGTACCGCAACATCACACTCGGTTGGTTTGTTTTTAAGTTTGTTTTGACAGTTTTTTTTTGTTTTATGGATTTGGATGAATATTGTTGCCTCTCAGACTATAGGACTCACCTTGGTAGTAAAGATTCCTAAGAATTGTTCCAGACTTAGATTGATTAATGATCTGATTCCCGAGCTCGTTTTACCAGCCTACAACAAATAAAACAAGAAAGAAAGTATAAAGTGACCGGAGCGAAAGAAAAAAAAAAAAACAGGTAGAGAAAACATATGATAAGTTAGTAATTAAATGGAGAAGGATTCGAGATCAAAAAAGGGGAAGGAAGTACGATTCCGACGCAATTGAAGCCAGCCGGCAAGCCGCCGAGCAAGATGATCTGGGTCAGACACGAAGCCAAGTCGTCGCGCCCGGCGTTCCCGAGCTGGCGGATTCCGAGGTCGGAGGCTGCGAGGAGGTCAGCGACGGAGTCATGCAGCCGTGCGGATGGGGCGGCTTGATGATCGGGATGGCCGGCGCGTCGGCCGATGCGCGACAGCCCTGCAAGCTCCTCGTCCCCGCGGCCTCCTCCGTCGCGCATCATCAATGGGGCCAGATCGGCTAGGATTTGCGGAAGCTTGTCCACGTCTGTAGTCGTAAGGTATCCCGAATCCACATATGATGTGAGCCCCGCTCGTAGGCCCGCTTGCGTCCGCTCCTGTCGCCCTCTCTCGACTACTGTTCTGTCCCCCTCCGCTTCGCGTCTCTCGTGGATCCTCGGCTTGAACCGCACGTCTGCTGCTCCTGGCCCCGTCTTGTCTACTATCGTCAGGCCCGTCACTGGCCTCGATATGCTCATCATCATCAGCACCATCATTAGTATCACTATGGAGTGGAGCGGAGTCGTCATCTTCTCCATTAATCTCGCTTATCAATAGTTTTGTCTTGAGTTTTTTTTTTTCTGAACTTCTTGCAGTCGATTCTTTAACAAATCTGGATCCCTCAATCAAAGAAGATGTGGGTTGATGGTCGGAGTTGGGGAAAGGATTGTATTAATGTGTGTGTGTGTTTGTGTGGTTCTTGGGAATGTGAGGTCGACGAGACAGATCAAGACAGACCGGCAGAGGGAAAGAAAGAAAGAAGGAAGGAGTGTGTAGGAGGTGTGTTCTTGTAACGAAAGAGTCGACGTTTTTTTGTGATATAAGGCGAGGTGCTTGGATGTGTGCAGAAATTGAGGATTGAGTTAGATTGTGGATGGCCGACTAGCTAGCTTCCCCATCTATTTATATCTAGAGAACGACATTTTCTTCTTCTTTTTTTTTGTTTCTTCTTCTGCTTTCATGTTAAAAAAGCTCTCCTTCATGCGTTCCTTTTTTGATTATGTATTGTGATTTGGAGCAAGCTCAGTTTTCGAACCCAACTCCCTAGTCCTTCAGCCAATTCTATTTAATCTGCAATACTACTACTAGGGAACTGTGTTATCTTAAGAGAAATGTGCGCGCGAGTACTGAGTAGTGGGCTTTTATGTAGCGATTGAAGTCCAGCAGCTTCGATGAGCTTGGTCGTCGAGTTCGCAGGGTTATGAACAACATTATCCACCATTGTTCATCGCAATCCACCATTGTTCATCGCAGGGTGAATAAACATTGCCATGAGGCTGAGGCTGAGTCCAGTCTTGCTTGTTATCAAGGATCTGTATCTGTTGATAAGGGCTCGCATTTCAAATGACATGCGCCGGCGATAAGCTTGTTGGATTTGCCTCGTCTGGATGAGTTCCGGCGAGCAGACGCGTTGCCAGTTGTCCGCCGGGTGACCAACAGCCGGCGAGCGTGGATGTGACAGCGGCGGATGTATGCGCCGGCGTGAACTCTGCCGGGGGGGGGGGGCTTGGTGGATCGCCCCACATATGGAATACGCCCCCTTTTGGAGGGTTTGGGTGGAATCAATCAGGTTTGCAACCCCGTCAGGGTGGGAAGAACCATTAAAAGGGAACCAACCACGGAAGGAAAGAACTACACGATAATGTCTATTATGCGCTCAGATTCACGGACGGAAGCCGATATACGCTCGTTGACGATGAGGATGTCAATCTTGTCTCGCTCGGATGGGTCTGCACAATTCTCGTTCGGTCAGTCATTTACTTCTGGTCTGCTTTGTTTGTTCGGAGACTAGAGTCGATCTTAGGAACACAGTTTAACATTTAATTCTTCTGGATTCTGAAATGCGGATTGTCCAGGTGATCTGAAGGCGTTGGGCGCCGTCACCGGGCCGGCTGAGGTTCGAATCAGGGACGAGAAACCTACTGAGGCCTTCGTCGATGTTATCGTTGTCCCGGTTTGTGGTCTTCCCGGTGCATAATCACTCGTTCAAATCATAGAAACACACACTCTCTATCATCATCATTTCGTATCCTTCTATTCACCATTCCGTCAAAAAAAAAAAAAAAAAAAAAAAAAAACTAGTTGGCTTAACGTGAAATCACTGAGATCACTTACCCTTGATTCGAATTTTATATAGGACCCCCGACCAAATCTTTGGCACATTCGATCAAGTCGTTCTTTACGCCGTTAATACTACTCAAGAAATATCCGAGATCGTTAATCCAAATCAATCTTCAGACGCTTTCCAAGCCATCTGATCGATGGACGAATGGCTTCACGACGGGCACACTAGAGCCGAGCGCGACGGTGCCCCTATTCGAGGAGACACAGAGCGTGAGCGAGAAAGCGGCGTTGATCAATGCGGCCAGTTTGGCCTTACTGGATGCCGGAGTGGGCATGAGGGGGTGCGCCTTCGCCGTCGGATTGGCGATCCTGCCCCCATCCGCCGTCTCGCCGAATCACAACAATCCGCAAGCTCTTGAATCCGATCTCATCGTCCTCGATCCTAGTCCTACCGAAGAATCTTCCGCTAAGAGCTTACATCTCGTCGGTTTCCATTTCGGTCATGGGTTCAATACAACAACTGACTCGGGCGTGGAGATTGGGACTGTTGCTCTATGTGAAAGCAATGGTAGCTTTAGCTACGATCAGGTACGTTCTTATACACACAGTAAAAGTCAACATGAGGACTGCTTGACTGATTCTAAGAAACTTTTTTTGTTCCAACTCGATCTCCTCATTTGAATCGTATATCTTTTCAATCGTCTTAAACTCTATATGTACAGCTACAAACTGTTCTCAAATTGGCTTCGTTGGCTACCCAACAGATTCTTGCCTTTGTCCGACAGAGTTGCGAGACCGTTTATGACCACGAAGATGGCATCAACTCTGCCTCCCAAGCTGCCGTCGGACAACCTACTTCTTCTAATCTTGACAATAGTAATCCGGAAAATAGAAAAAAGAAGAAATCTAAAAAGAATAAATGAACCCTTTTTTCTTCATTTGTGGAAATTATTTCTCGTTCAAATTATGGCGGCCTCTTGCTTTCAGGAGGAGCTGGTCAAAGGATCACTCTGGTCATACATTTCATCTTATAAACCTTGATGTTTGTTTTGAATTTATCTGAGTAAGCATAGATCTAAGGGATACATGAGCAGATGAACCGATTCTCGTCTTCATGCGGAGCTGAAAACGACTGAGAAATGTGTTTCTTCTTCTTCGTTTAGTTTTGCATGTTGGAGAAGCTTCTCACGCAATGCGGAGTGACAATACTAGAAAAAAAAGAAGAAGAACAAGAAACACGATTTGGCGCAATTTCCGGGGAATACATGACGATCGAACGACGGTAAAACAGATCGAGTGTGATCATTGATTGATATGAGATTGGGGTAATTACAGAATGAGCTAAAGATGTGGGAATAGTACATTTATGATCAGGTCGTGATTAGGTGGCGGCTGCATCGGATTCGGCCCTTCGAGAGGCAGCAAGTGTTAAGACCTGTTGAGCTTTCGATAGTTCTTCTGTACCTGCCAAGTCGGTCTCATGTGCGCTCTGGAGAAATTGTCGTAAGAGGTGCAAGAGAAGAATGAGGGTCTATAGTAGGTTTGAAAAAAATAAAAAATAAAATAAACTGAGAATCTGACCACTAAATCGGCTAGTTCTTCAATCGCCTTTGATAGCCTTTGCTTCACATCGGGGATCATTTTGATCGTTTCATCCAGAACCTCTTTCTTTCGATTTTTTTTTTTGAAAAAATGGGGCAAATAAGCAACAGATTCTTTTTCTTGGAGAAGGTAAGAAGATGCATAGAGCGGTGGGGGTTAGGACGAACTTGTTTGCGAATGTTCCAGTCGTCATCCGGGGTTTCTTGCTTGACTTTTTCAATCCGTTTGAGTTGGTTATCGTACTCCTTCTTGTACGAATCTTCTTCCTTGATCAATCTTGAGTGGTTATATGTCAATCATGCAATTGAAATAAAACAACAAGAACAACAGCAAAAAAGTGATCAGTTAATTCGATCAGACAGGTTGAGCGGAAATAAAAAGTTAGAGGGGTAAGCTCGTACCGTTCAACGACTCCAGTCTTGATCTTTAATGGTCGCGATGCCATCGTCTACTCGTTTCTGGGTAAGTCGTATTCGTCTGGCTTCGATCAGTTATGTAGTTGTCTGGAGTTCCAATCCATCTACACTTGATTCCGTCTCTGTACGAGTTCCGGGTGTGGCTAGGACAATTGGGGTCCTAATGGCACCACCCGTAGCCCTACCTGGTCCCCTAAATAGCTTAGGGTTTTCAGGAGGGGCGCGTGAGGGTCTTGGGAGAGGTCGTCCCCTCTACTCATGTGCCCCCGGTGAGGGGGGGCCTAAATGGTGGAGGAGGATCTCTTCCTGAAACAGAGAGGAGAAGTGTGGGGGATCGCGCTAGACCCCAGAACTCAGGTTAGAAGCCTGAGCCTCAGCGCGAAACCCCACACTTCGTCCTGGGTTCTGCCCTCGAGTGAAATTTGGAGTGAAATTAGATCATGACAACCTCCATTGCAAATCTAGTCTTGATAACAGCTGCAAGGACTCAGTTAAATCTTCCTCTGAGTATAGCCTAATGTACAACTTGTAGCTGGCCGAGGCCCAGCGCCCCGCCCTGCAAATCTGAGTCGGGGGAATACCCAGAGCGTTCTGGAAAGACGCTCCTCCTACTCTGAATGAGTGGCCTGAAAGGCCGTGGAAACTATGCGCGGTCCAACACTCCGTGAGTCGCTTCTTGACGAAATATTTCGATAAAGTTACGTGACAGCCATCTTTCCGATAGCTGAACACATGATCGTTCCTTCCACAGGTTGCCAGACGGCGAGTCAGGGCTCGCACCGGGCAGAGTATGTTTAGCATCCCTTTCAATTGGAGGAACTGAGATTCGCCCGGCAGGGCTGTCTTGGATACCTTGAGCTCCACTGTCACGGAGGAACCCGTCGGATGTATGGAGACGTAGCTCGGGAGAATTTTACGTTGTGGACTTGTCTGGTCCGTTGTCAACTCGCCTAGCCGGGCTAGGCCCCAAAAAGCTACCAATGCCAGGTCGAGGATTGCGGCATCCTCTAAATCGCCTGACGATAGATCGTTCGCTAGACAAACCATGTGTCTAATTAGCACTGGATTCTTTGGTTCTTTCCTCGGCGTTGACGCCTCTACTTTTAACGATGACTTGAGCAATAGGGCCGCTTTCTTCTCAGAGATTATTGGGTAAGGCGAGTCATGGAAAATATGCCAGGCTTTTAAACCCTGCAGATATTTTTTCAGTGTTACCGCAAGTACCCCGCTTTCGCCACCGTCTATGTCTTTCTTCCCTGCCCAGTAGCAGAAGTTATAGATGTCGTCCTCGGTGGCCGGTAAGAGAAAAATTGGATGGCCTTGGGACCTTTTAAACGCCAGGAATTTCCGAACAGCGGAGTTGTAGCTTTTAAGGGTCGACCTCGACCAGCCGTTCAAAACATGCTGATCAAGCTTAGTTGGGTTCTTCAAAATATGGCCCGGAGATGTGAAGTCTTTTATGGAGAAGAAAAATGCTTCATTTGAGGAGGAATTCATGATAGTGGATGTAATGAGATTTGGTGAAGTTAAAAATAGGACTGGCTACCGGTTACAAGGGAACAAAAAACCGAAAGGTGCTTGGGAGATAACTCAAAAACCATGGAACAACGACGGGAACATCATATATTTAAATTTTAAAAATGACCTGGGACAACAGGTCTTGAAGGTCAGGGGGCACCTGTATACACACCTGGTACTTTACAGACTGGCCTGACCGTATCCCTTGCGACAGGGCGTCTGCCTTGTTATCTTTTGATGCGACCCTTCTTGCTATTAAGTTTACCGATTCACGTAAAAGGATGGCCTGTATTTTCTTCCATTTGTCATTTGCTTCTCTGTCTTTTGTTTTCATGTTGTTGATGCTGTTTTCGGTAGTCGTGTTGTCCGTCCAAACTATGAGTGATTTACCACGTTGATCGCGAAGCTTCAATAGCATGATGAGACCGAGTCTTATTGCCACTGTTTCTAGCAGGGAGATTTGTTTCTTATTAGACAGTGGGTCTATGAGCTTGAATTGAGCCCAATGCCTTCCCACTATTATTCCGATACCGAAAGAGGTGGAGGCGTCCCCAACCCAACCGACGTCTAAAGGTGGTCCCCATCTAATTAGACGCGTGTGTTCAAAATTGTTCAAGGTTTCCACCCAAATTTGAAGGTCTTCGAGGACGTCTACCGGAGTCGCCCTTTTTGCTTTCCGCCAGAACCAAGATTTTAGCCAGCGATATAAGGAACATAAGTTACATCTTAAGTGTGGTAAGATGTATGTCACGTGGTTAAGACGTCCTACGAGAATTTCGACTTCTTCGTAATCGAAAGTAGCCTTTGTTACTTGGAAGGGGTATATCTGATTCAGTCTTTTCTCGATTTTACCCTCTGGCAGTCTCACTGTCTTAGATACACCATTCCATACGAAGCCTATGAATTTTTGTTCTGGCGAGAAATCTGAGAACTTCTTGACGTTTGTCATCACTCCAAGCTCGGTTGATTTTAATACTACGTCTTTCATCGATAAATCAGCGCCAACTTCTTTAATAAAGAGATTGTCGTCTACCCATCGGAAAATGGTGATCAAGTTGAAGTGACTTTTCATTAGGGGGTATCAAATATAACGAAATCCACCACTTTTTAATTGACGGGTTTTGAGAAATCCACACTTACCAAATCCACCTTTGCAGTGACCAAATAACCTACTTCTTTTGTCAGGGCGTATCAAATATAGCATAAATCAACCCATTTTTTTAGCCCAAAATTCCTGAATTTCCAATTTCAAATTCCAACCATCCCCCATCCTCCACGATTCCCTCAATCCTCCACGATTCAATCCCCACTCACCCCACAGCTTCTTCAACATCTCCTCTTAACTTGCCCCTGCACATCACTCATCATCAAACCAAGTCTGATCAATTGATTAGTTCAAGGTATTTATCTTCAACTGAACCAAAGTATATTTCAATGGCCTCACAAATTTTGTTCTTTTTCCACTACATGCACCCAACAGATGCCTCCAAAAAAAGCTTCCAGATTCCCAACCCTCCGATCACTTCGAACCCCTCCAAAGAAGAAGAGGGCCACTCCAAAGAATACACGATCAAAGAAGAACGATGATGAACTTGGTTCATCCCAAGGTCATCTAAAAATAGAGGACTATGAAATCATCATCGACTGGCTCAGAGACAAGAAAAACTACGTTGCCTGTTTTGGCGATGGGAAGGCTCCTGCGATTGGACGACAACCAAAGGCGATGATAAACGGTTACGAGTTGATGGCGATTCACCTCCGAAATGTTTCTCCAACTAAAATCAATCTTACCCCCCGACAGATGAAAGATCGTTTCAAGTCATACAAGGACAAGTATGAGAAAGCTCATACGAAATCTATGTCAACTGGCTTTGGTCTGACCCCAGCTGATCGGAAGGCTGGAATCACAACGATCGAGGACAAACTTGAAAATATGTGTCCTCTCTACGCTGAAATGGACGAAATCTTTGGTAACCGGCCTGATGTCAATCCGTTGTTTATGGCGGATGCAGAGGATGAAGACGATTCATCTGAATCATCTTCTGAGGACAACAATTCCGATTCCTCAAATGAGATGGATGAGAACGATTCATCTCATAGTTCTGAGTCCACTGCTATTCACCCTTTGTTGAAGAATGCTACTTCACAAGTCAATATCGTGGCCCTGGAGCAAGAAAACACAGGTGATGTAAGTCAATTGGATTCATTTGTTGTCAGTCATCGGTTCACTGATTTTGAAAGATATTGCCCCGTCAAACAGAGAACGGAAGCTCCGACTGGGCAAGTTCCAATGGATGAAGAGGCAGGTGTCCAGGCTGGGGCAACAGGTGTAAGTTGCACTGTTGAGTGATGGCAAAAAAGACTACAACTATATTGACTTTCTTCATCGTTCTTATCCAGGAACCCACTCCATCGGGTGAGACTGTCCAAGATCCAGCTTCAAAGTCTAAGGCTGTGGGGACCCAGGCGAAATCACCAAAGAAGAAGAAGAACAAAAGCAATCGTGTGCAATCTACAAGCAAGGCACCTGCTCTGAGCGATTCTGGTGAAGACGATTCTGAGTACATATCCCCAAGGAAGAAAACGAGTGCGAAGAAGAAGCGCAAAAGAAGGTCTTCAGGATTGAACGCTGGTTTGACACCCGAAGAGCTTGCTTTGGACGATCATACCGATGAGGACTCCTCTGACACCCCGGCTCCAAGTCCAAAAAAAGGAAAGCGCCGAGCCTCAAACTCCAAGAATATCAATCCCAAAAGCCATGGTCGCCCCTCTGCTGTTCCCAACTCTTTTTTGGCCTACGAAGAATATGCGATGAAAAGAGATGCTGGTCAGTCATCTTACATTCCACTCACTTTTTAACTACCTGGGAAATTAACGATTCTTCCTTTCTCCTTGATTTCTAGGAAAATCTGAGGTCGCTCGGGAGAATCTTGGCTTTGAAAAGATGAAGTACAACAGGATGATTGAAAAGGAAGATAACGGTCTGAAATTGGAAGATAAAAAATTTGAGCATAGTAAAGAAATGGAAGGTAAACGATGGGATCACTCGATGAAGTTGGACGATAAAAAGTTGGAGATGGAGAAGGAGGAGAAGGCAAAAGATCGAGATTTTGAGTTGCAAAAACTGGATCGCCAATCAAATGCCGAGGCTCAAGCAAAGAAGATGGAGGTGTTGGTGAAGTGTTTGGACTCTGGGAAATCGATGGAAGACATAGAGAGGATTGCAAAACTTTTCAACTAGCCTCCCGTTCTGATTATCTTGTTGTAGTATGACTTAACTCAACGGTTTCTTTGCATATTGGAAATAAAAGTGCGATCAAGACAAAAAAACAGATGTGATGAATTACTTTTCTTTACAACCACAAAGAAAATTGATAGACAGTCAGTTTATAGAGCAAGAAAGGAAAATGAAATGATGAGAAATGAGGTTAGTTAAGAGAAAACAGGGCCTTTTTTTTGGTTTGAGGAGTTTTGTTGTAAGAAATAAGGAAGTTAGGGATATTGGAGGACCACGATGACAACAGATAAAAGGAAAGTCAATCACATAAAAGAGAAATGGTAACAGAGAAGCTAACGTCTTTGACGTTTGTTGGAGGGCTGTCGTCTTTGACATTTTTTGGAGGGTTGTTTCGACAAAGGTTTGTTGGCATCGTTATTTTCAGAGGAAGGTTTGTCATCGTTTTGTTGTCTTTTTTTGGGTCTGGGATAAGTTTGAGAGTTATCGAGGATTACACGCATGTCACGAACTTTCCAGTGTTTCTTTTTGGGATCTTTCTTATAGTGACCCTTTTGTTTTTTTTGGATTACCTCTTTGGTTTTTGTCGGGAGTTGGACAGAGTAGCCAAGTCGAGCATGCGGAGAAGAATCGGGAGTTGTCGAGGGAACAGTGAGATGGTGAATGTGTCTGGCTCTCCAAGCACATTCAACAACTCCTTTAAATCCAGAAAAGTCAATACCGAATCCATGTCTGGGGAAAACGAATTCACCGCCGTATCCGTCCAAATCATCTTCTATTAAGTCCCCTGTGGTTTTGTCAATCGGAAGCCATGTGACAAACGTGTATGGCGAGCTATCTCGATCCGTGTGGGGCTTATTTGAGAAATTATCGAAGGTGTATGATAAATGACACGTGAAATCCCCTGGGGCACTGGTGAAAAGAGGTGTTAACCCTGGGGCCCCAATCGCATTATGTTGCCTTTTGACTTCTTGATAAATAGGTCGGGAGAGGGCCTCGAATTGTTGGCCAACGAAGCGACTAACATCATCGACCTGTGATTGAAGCTCTTCATATCCTTCAGGGTCTCGGGATACCTTCTCCGCAATGCCCGTGACGCCAATGATCGTGTCCTTCTCAAATCCCTTGCGCCAACCAAGACTGAACATTTTTCCCGATAATGCTGGACCGTTGATTTTGTTTGGGTTTTGGAATCTGGTCTGTTGAATCAGGTGGTGGGCGACTTTCTGATATTGAGACTTCGTTTCCTCGTCCATGGTGTTGAATGGGCGGAATTTGACCACGGCGATAATGTTCTTCCGAGCTTCTTCTCTCCAGGCAATCACACTATCTGAGAACATTCGAATCGGAGCCTCCGGGTTTTTGGTGCATACATGGGAGGTGAGACTATCATCCAAATCCCATTCGACAAATTTTTGATTGGCTTTGGCTCGTTTCTCCCTCTGCTTTCGGGCCTTGAAGGCTTTGAAACGGAGCTGTTTCTTAGTGAGGGGTGGATCATCGGTAGGTGGTGTGTCTTTGGCGGCAGATTTGGCTTCGGGGGCAGGTTCGTCATCAGTGGCGGTTTCATCGTCGGCGGGGGCTTCATCATCGGCTGCGGATTCATCATCGGTGGGGGCTTCATCATCGGCAGCGGATTCATCATTGGTGGCGGATTCATCTTCATCTTCAGTGTATTCATCATCGGTGGAGGATTCATCATCAGCAGTGGATTCTTCTTCTTCAGAGATGGTTTCTTCTGCGGAGAACTCTTCTTTGGCTGAGGATTCTTCTGCGGGGGATTCATCGGTAGGAGATTCTGGAGAGAGGTGTTGAAATCCACAAGGCAACTTGTGAGACATGGACGGTGCCTTGGCCTGCGAGTTGATTGAGGTGGTCATTTCGGCGGGGGTTGGAGTTTCGGCCGGGAATGTGGTTGATATGGGTAGAGGAATAGCCAATGAGTTGTCCACGATGACGTGACCTTTGGCTGGTGATCCCGTAAGAATGCCCACTTCACCATCCACCAAGGCCTGAGGGGGCTCATTCCCCTGAGTTAACGCAGGGCATCCAATCTCGATGTTTCGTACGCACTCAGGAGAATCTTGAGCCCCACACAGGAGACCTGTCCGTGCGGGAAGTCCAGCCTCACTTGGCAGTGCAGGGCATCGCATCTGGATGTTTCGTACACAGCTAAGTGGGTTATGGTTCTTCCCTGGACAGGCTCGGCAGATGTAAGGGGCACCTCGAGGGGAGTCACAGTACCTCCGGTTGTTGTCTTTGGTGAGGGTGATTCTGGACTTCTCGGTGGCGTATGGCGCAATCGTGGACCGTCGGAATTTGGGCATTGTCTGTAATTTCTAGTAAGATTGCATAATTAACATGCCGTGGTCAGTATTTAAATCATAAATTTCTTTCATGATGAATGTACAATTCTTACATATAAAAGACCAGGCCAATACTAATTGCTTGCCAGAATTCCAACACGGAGGCGTAATAAATATAATCTACAGAGGACCATGTAAAACCAGATGATGTCAGTACTCATGTTTATTATGATGCCCAATGAAGGGGTCAGCTCGTCTGTGTGCTCTCTCAAGGCTCATCGGCCTATTCTCTCACTATCTCAAGGCTTATAAGCAAGATACATTGCTTTACGGCTGATAAGCAGCCTTGTGAGGTGTCCAGACACCTCAAAATACCTCGAACAGGGCCGGATATGTGGCCCTGTTCTTCTCCTCTCTTGTTCTCCAACAGGGCCGGATATGTGGCCCTGTTGCTCCTCTTCATCCTGCTCCAACAGGGCCGGATATATGGCCCTGTTGCTCCTCTTCAACCTGCCCCTTTCCCCCCTTCCCCTTTGCCCCCCAATCCTCCCCCCCCCCTTCACCTGCCCTTGTTCCCCCAAACAGCACCCCATCAGCACCCCTGGGCCCCCCCCCCTCCCCCCGATATGAAGTTTATGAGGGGGGGGGTCAATGAACGGAGTACGGATAAACTGGGATAGTGGTAGACTAGGGGGCCGAGGTAGACTGCGGATGCGATTCCCAGAG